TATATATATATATATATATATATATATATATATAATTTGTGTAGCATTTTAAATTTAGGAAATCTTTATGCTAAGAAATAAAGAGAAACCACAGCAAAAATAAATGTCTAAAAAATATTAGCTAGAATCAAAAGAAAAATAATGTCTGCAAAAGTGGGGTTCGAACCCACACCCACATTCGAGGACCAAAACACTCACTACTCTGATAACAGAGCAGGGAACGAACCTTGAGTCTGAACGGTTCGGCCATCCTGCCTTTGTCACGGTTCTGATAGTTTACGCCATTAAAAAATTTTATACCGATATTCTTAGTTTATGAGAAGCTGTAAACTTTTGGCACAGAATTTTTTTTTAACATATTTTTCATACTTTTTTTTGATTAATTTGTATTAATTTAGATCAAAATGACGGGGAAATATTATATTTAGCATTTTAATAGTTTATAGTTATGAATAAAGCATGAAACATTGCAGTCTTTTTCTACGTTAAAGGTAAAATCTTCTAATAATGTCTCGATTTTGCTTTTATTTGCAGCAGGAGAAACAGCATCTAAGCATTTACATTACAGAGAAACAGTTATTCATCGTTGAAATTTCTTTAGTTTACGAATCCAAATACCTATAAATTTTTCTAATATGAATGAAAAAAAAAAAAAAATTCAAACTACTTTTTTGAACTTTATATTTTAGTTCAAATATAATTCCGACAATTCAGCAGATTTTTTTTAGTAAGTCTTAGACTGTTTTTCATACATAAAATATATTTCATATTTCGCTCTCTCGATAAATGTTTTATAAAATTCTAAGGTTAATGAATTACTTTTAAAACTCTTTTTTTATTCTGAGGATATGAAACAGGGATATTCTTTTAAAAATCTTAATTTATTCCAAGAACATGGAAAAGAGACTCAGACCAAAGGCAGAGGAATTTTTTCTTTCTTAATTCTAATGGTAAGGGTATATTCCAAGAACTTAATCAAATTGTTTTAGAACTATGAGGAAGTAATAATTTTTTTTGGAATTTCAAGAGCAACTGAATTTAAATTTTTTCAAACTTCAATTTAGTTAATCGCGAGACTGTGAAGGTATACTAAACATTATAAAAATGATTGTATTTAGGTTTCAAACTAAAGAAGCTTGTCATTGGTTAGCACTTAAGAGGAGTATATTTTTTAAAACTCATAGGACACTTAAAAAAAAATTTTTTTTTAACGTTTAACGAAACATGGAAATGTTTTATCTCTAAATTTTTTACAAATCTTAAAATCTAATGGCATTGCAATTTTTTGAACTCTGAAGAAAGGGACATTTTTATGGAATTCCAATCAGTGTAATTTTTTGAAAACTATTAACTGGGGAAGTTTTTCTGAAACTATAAAGACGAAAAAATTCTTTCGGTTATTAAAAACAAAGGAATGATTTGATTTTAAAAGATTTTTTTGTTCGCGAAAATGATATTTGTAGTTACTTAAACATTAAAAGGCTATATAAACATTTTACTTCATAATTTTTTTTCATAACTCTTTCATAAATGGTATTAAATTGTTACATAAAGTTTTTCTCATAATCAATTTAAAAATATATTCAGGCAATGTTTTAAATTATTTAAAATCAGGAAATGATTTTGAAGCCAGGAAAAGGTTTTGACTTTGATTTTCAATGTGATGTGACTATCGGAAATGTTGATTTTCAGATCATTGAATATGCTTTTTGTTAAACCAATCTTATATATATTTATATAAAAAATAAAATTTTTACTTATATGAATCTTAGAAATTTTGCTATATGATCTAGTATACTACTACTGATTTACTGATCTGATTTTTACTATATGATCTTAGATATTTAAAAAATACATAGTTTTTTTTAAATAAATTAAATAATAAAATTAATAAATCTAATAAAACTAATAATTTTTTTAATAATTTAAAAAATAAAGCATCTAATAATTTGCAAAAATTTTTTAAAAATTTATTTGCAAAAATTGTTTCTATTTAAATTCTTTTTACCTCAGTTTTTTTTATTTTCTTTTTAAATTCTTCAGATAGTTTTTTTCTTCTTCCCATTTTTCTTTTTCTATAGTTAAATTTTTTTTTAACTCCATATATTGCTTTTTCAATATCTATTTTTATCAGGGTTTCGCTATATTTTTTAAACAAGTTTTTTTTATATCAATATCACACATATTTCAATATCAATAAATACATATCAATTTTATCAATTTCTTATTAACTTATATTACTATTTTCGTATTAATATTTATACTCAATAAATATGAGTTTTTATAAGCTCTCATTTATTTATATTAGTATATTTATAAAAAATTATAATATAAATAAATATATGTCTTTGAATATATTTTTAACGTAAAGAAATATAAGTTTAATCAAACTTTTATTCATTTATTTTAAAAAACTGCATAACTTATTGAAGTTTTTAAGATCTACAAAGAACAATTGTAACGTTTCTCAAAACTTATCTAAAGTTAAAAATGTCATTCTAATTTTTTTGTAAAAGTAAATTATTTGTGACAAAAATATGTCAGGATGGCCGAGCGGTCTAAGGCGCCAGACTCAAGGTTCGTTCCTTGCTCTGTTATCAGAGTAGTGAGTGTTCTGGTCCACGAATGTGCGTGGGTTCGAATCCCACTTCTGACAGTCTTTATTTTTCTACTAATTCTACTTAATATTTTTTCAACATATATTTTTACTAAGGTTTCCCTTCATTTCTTTGTAAAACATTTTCCAAATTTAAAATGCCCCTCACCGTCTGCGGAAACTTCGTTTTAGAATTATGAATTAGATATTAAAAATATTTTTCTATTTGAATATTTTTCAAATATTACTTCAAAGTTTTAAATTTTTGACAAAAAATTTGATTTTGGTGGACAATAAATTTCGTTATTTTTTATATTTTTTTATCTTTAATTTTTTGGATTTTTTTTTTCTTTCTTTTTTTTTTTGAAACTGTAAAGATGAAATAATTTTTTTATAAATTAAGAACAAGAGAATATTTTTGTCTTAAAAGAATTAGAGAATTTGTTATTCGCGGAAAAGATATTTGTAATTACCTGAACATTAAAAAGGCTGTATTTCATTTCATTAAATTTGTTTTTTTTGAGTTCGATTTTTTTTTCTTTAAAAGAAGATAATATTTCTTTTATTCATACTATTAAATTGTTATACGAAGTTTTCCCCACTTAAAAATATGCCCCATGTAAAAATAAATAGAAATATTATTTTGTATTAAACATGATTTCTTAAAACTATTTTTATGATTTTCAATTTGAATACTTTATAAATTTATTATATAGATCATTTAAAAAATAAAAAGTTTCTAATTTACTTTTAGAAAGCTTCAAACTCATGAAATATTCACAATGCATTCGTCTGATTCTTTTCACATTCTTTTGTTAAAAGAGAAGATTTTGATAGAATTGTAAAATCTTGCTGTGCTAACTCTTGCTGTGTGAAAATGAATTGTATTTGAACCAGCAGTGGAATTCTATCGAAGATGAAAAGAAAAGTAAGTATTTAGCTAAATATCATTACAGATTTAACAAATATAAAAAGTGTCTAGTTATTGTAAAATGTAATCCATCTATCAACCTGAGCTGTTTCAGACAATCTTCAAAGTGAGTCTCAAGTGTTGCAAGCGCACAATCGAATTCTAAATTTTTGATTTCATTTTATTTTATAATCGGCATTGACGACTATCTAAGTTCAACGCGGTATATTCGTAATTTCGAACCCAATCCAGAAAAAGAACGAAAATACTGGACCAAGTATTGGGACAAACTAGCCACTGTGGAAGACTTTTTGAGTCATTTGCGCTTGCCCTACATGCAGAGGAAAACCAGGAAATATTCCCACGGTTAGCCCGACGGCAAGAGTATTCTAAAGCATGATCCGTCAACCTCTGAGGATATTTTACTGATCTGATGATATTTTACCGTGAACTGTGATCGGTGTGAGCCAGGAACAGAATTCTACCTTTGGGATTCGTACCCGGGTCATCTTATAGGGAGGCGACCACTCTATCCCCTGAGCCACTGTGGCTCTAAATTTCTTGTTTGATATAATTCAGAGAGTACTGATACAAAATTCGTGGGAGTTAAGTTGCAAATTGGAAACGTCTATCCTAGCAATTTGGCTTCTCTACAGGCTTATCTTTTTTGTGTTTAGGTAAACACACAGGATTGTGTTTAGGTAAACTCCCACGGTTTAGGTAAACTCAGAGGTCTTAAATTATTCGCCTTATATTTAATTTTTTTTACTTCGTTTATGTAAACGAGTTTAAAGCACCAGTTGATGACGTTACTTTAAGTATGCAATATGCTGTATGAAGATTTCGGATCTTACACCTTTAAATTTTTATATGCAATCAATTTTTGTATTTTGACCTACTTGATTGTTGACCCACAGGAATAAAAAAGAGTTATTAAAATCAATTAAGCAAAAATTATGTCCAAGGAAATGTCAAATATATTTATATACGTATGAAAAATAACAAGACTTCAACTTAAGCGGTTGGATGAATTTAGTATGTGTTAGTAATTTAAACTATTTGATGACAATTAACTTCAATAAAATTAAAGAATATTTTTAAATTTAAGTTGAGGAATTGTGCAATTGCCTAAATATATCAGAAAATTTCATTAAAAAAGTGGACAACAAAAGCATTTTGAATTGATCCAAAATCATCTTTAATGAACAATTTTATCCTCAAAAATCTTCTACTTGCTTTCTTTATAGAAGTTTCGATCCTTACATTTGCAACTGTTTATTTCATCAGATTCTTTTTATGTCTTAGAGGTAATATCTGATTTTAATCCTATCATTTTCCATCAGCATGACAGAATAGTACAGGCCAGAGCCGTCCCTACTAGTCGTTTTCATCTGGACGATCCAGACACTAGATTAATCTATCTACGGATGTCCATGGTTTTTTAAGATCTTTTGTCACAGAATCAATCCATCTGGCGTTAGGTCTTCCCCTTTTCCAGCTGTCAGTTAACTTTCCAAAAGTCAACTTCTTAACTGGGACACTATCATCCCTTCTGTAGATGCGGTCCAGCTATATTATTCTAGAGGATTTAATATCTGAAATTATGTTTTGTTGCTTAAATTTTCTATATAACTCATAATTGTATTGAATCCGCCAAACACTGTTTTCTTTAACAGCTCCAGAGATTACTGTGATATATTTCTTTCAAATATTAGTCGTTTATTTTCCCCAATCTTATTAAAAGGCCAGCATTCGTTGCCGTAAAGTTTAATTAGAGTATTACATAAATTAATTTTTATAAATTAATTAATTCTGAACTGCTTTTACATTTCCCACTGTGTAGTATTTAGACTTTGTGTAGTATCTAATAATAAAAAAACGCATTTTAGCACTTTTAAAATTTTTGAAACTCATGAAAATTTGTTTTTCTCTTTTAAAGTCTTAAACTTGAGTTAATTATTGGAGCATGTTTCATTAAAAAAAGTGAAAAAAAATTATTTTGAATAATTTAGCAGCTTAATAACAATATTAACTAATGGATATTTTTAGTTCTTAAAGGTATGTGTTTCGAGACGCTTCGCTACAAATGCCACAGCAAAGGTTTCAACGGAAGTCAGAAGTTTTGAAGAAATACCTGGACCTGTGCCTTTGCCTCTAGTAGGAACGATGTTGAATTATTTGCCTTTTTTTGGTAAGACAACCCTTATTTTATCTTTAATATCTGCGTGTGCACTGCATTATTTCAACACCCCCTAGAAGAGTATTTACTTTTATAAAGCATTACCTTTCGTCACTCTTTATTTTAGTTCTCACTTTTTTTTTCCTTTAAGAATTAAGATTGAGCATTTATTTCTTAATTGAGAATATTTGATACTGAGATGAAGAATGTCCTTCTCTAATGTGTGCTGTCTCTTCGTGAATTTGACAAGAACTTACACGCAGATCTTTTTTTTTCTTTTTTTCAAAATTTTTTTTAAATTTTTTATAACCGTTGTTGAACAGCCGACCCAATTTTTAGTTTACGTATACTAATGTTCAGCGCCGTAACCTTGCAATTTTAAACCGATCCAGACGACAAGGAAACTCCTGGATCAGTACCCCCAGAGATATTGATTTGTTATGGGAACATGGAGGACTTAGCGACTCGACAGATTTAACGTGTTTCAGTCATCATTTACTACACGGGGAGTCTTCATTCGGCGGAGATCGAACCCACGACCTTTTGGACATGGGCCCAGTGCCCTACTAATCTGGCTATCCCGGCCATTATAAGCCGATTTTGTGATGAGCATTCTAACGTGCATATGTAAGTGTTACAATAAATGGATATTTTCTGGTCATGAGGGATAAAGGATAATCTTTTTCAGCTTTTTATATTTGGTCTCAATCCTTTCCTTTCAATTTCCATTTCTTAATTGAGAATTTTCGTTATTAAAATTAAGAAGATTATTTCATTCCTTGATATGTGTTGGGTTCCTTTTTTGTTGGAAGTTCGGAATTTTTTGTAGGGAGTCGGAATTCATGGTAGGCCTACTTCTATAGCCAACCCTTTCGGACATTTAAATTCTTTCAACAGCATTCAATTCTATGGAATTTTCTCATTGTTCACTATATTATTTACCAATAAAAAATTCCTTTTGATTTTTCTTTCTTTTCTATAGGTCAGTATAATTTTTGGAAGCTACATCGAACTTATGCCAAGATGCACCAACAATACGGAGATGTTGTTAAGGAAGTTATAACGAAGAAACGTATTATTGTCCATGTTTTTAATCCAGAATATATGTCACATGTTTACGTCAATGAAGGGAAATATCCAAATAGATTGAGTCACACGGCATTGGCAAAATATCGACTTGAAAGACCAAATTTTTACAGTGGACCCGGATTATTTCCGAGGTAAGGAAATTAATTGAATAATACTCAATTATACGCAAATAGTTGAAAACTTTAAATGAATAAATTTTAAATACATTTAATTAAAGGGAAATGGAATACTTGGACTGCTATAACTTGTTAGCATTCATTAAGATTTCATTACTAATTATAAAAGTAACTCATTTTGGAAAAAAAAAACTGCGCTTATTTTTGGTATAAATTACCTTCTAAATTACAATAAGAGTGATACTTACTATAACATAGACCTTTACGTAGACCAACCCTTAAGTTCAGAACTAGGACGTTAATTTCTTTGTTAATAATCTTGTTCAGAAGCCCTCTGAAACATTAGCCAATTGAGGAGAGACAATAGAGATATTTATCTACGAAAGATTTTTCTTTTTCTTTATTGCTTGTTTGTAGCTTAGACACCTTTTTTGTTTATTATTTTTCGATCAACAAACTGACAACTTTCGATCAAAACAACAACAACAACAATAATAATAATAATAATATAAGTTGGTATATAAAATAAAATAACAAAGGAGCCTGAGATTAATGATAAAAAAAACTAATACTGTATGGGACATAATGGCAATTTTCTGAAAAAAAAGAAAAGAAAAGAGACGAGGTGATTTTTGTATTAAAAAATGAGCTCAATTAAAGATATTTAAACAATATCAGTAAATCATAATTTTAAATTGTCAGTTGCTTATAAAAACCTGATGATGAAAATGTTCTCAAGATATTTCTGAATGTTTAAAAAGAAAATTCTGTTATGTATGTTTCCTAATAGATCGAGAATGGGAGCGTCGATTTGGATCATGCTTTTCTATACAGTTTGCAAACAGTCACCTCTTTCCGGTGTCACGTAGTTAAAACGCAATGAAATTTCATTGTTGAAACTCGTTGCTACAGATAAAACTTTCCTTAATATCTTTTGAATAGCCTATCTATTGGGGCTCCTTTTTGTTACAAATTGCTAATATCTTTTTCAATCATTTTGCGATATTTTTTATCTCTTTACTTTGCGATACGCAATTTGTAAGCCTTTTCTTTTTAATTTGAAAAATAAATAAATAAAAAATAACTGTGATATCTCTTAAAGCCCCTCATAAGCTAAAAATGTCAGTATAAATTTTTTTATGGAGAAAATTATTAATCCTGTTAGTAAGTCAGGATGGCCGAGCGGTCTAAGGCGCCAGACTCAAGGTTCGTTCCTTGCTCTGTTATCAGAGTGAATGAGTGTTCTGGTCCACGAATGTGGGCGTGGGTTCGAATCCCACTTCTGACAGGCTTTTTTCTTTCTTCACATTTTTCTTTTTCCGTAGTTTAAATTTTTTTTTTTTAAACGCTATAAAATGCTTTTTCAACATCTATTTTTATTAGGGTTTCGCTGTACTTCTTAGAATAAAATTTTAATATAAATAATTATATATTTTTGAATAGACTTTTAATCTTAATAAACATAAGTTTTAATAATCTTTTATTTATTTATATTGATATATTTATATAAAAATTCAATATAAATATGAATATATCTTTAATGTAAAGAAATATAAGTTTTATCAAAGTTATATTTATATATTTCAAAAAATACATAATTTATTGAAGTTTTGAAAAACAAATTTTTTTTGAACTCTATATAATGCTTTTTCAACATCTATTTTTATTAGGGTTTCACTGTACTTCTTAGAATAAAATTTTTATGTAAATAAATATATATTTTTGAATAAATTTTTAATCTCAATAAATTTAAGTTTTAATAATCTTTTATTTATTTATATTAATATATTCATATAAAATTGGAATAAAAATATGAAATATTTTTAAAGTTTTGAAATATAAATTTTATCTAACTTATATTTATTCATTTTAAAAAATACCTAATTGATTGAAGTTTCGAAAATTACAAAGAACAATTGTAAAATTTTTTGAAGCATTGTAAAATTTTTTGAAGCATCTAAAAATGTCATTATAAATTTTTTATTAAAGTAAATTATCCGTCCTGAAAGCAAGTCAGGATGGCCGAGCGGTCTAAGGCGCCAGACTCAAGGTTCGTTCCTTGCTCTGTTATCAGAGTAGTGAGAGTTCTGGTCCACGAATGTGGGCGTGGGTTCGAATCCCACTTCTGACAGTATTTTTTCCCTTCCCAACTTTTATTTTTCTGTTGTTCAATTTTTCTTAGCTTTATATGATACTTTTCCAGCATTTTTTTATATTAAGGTTTCGCTTTATTTCATAGAAAGAAAAATTTCCAAAATTTAAAATGTTCCCAGCGAAAATTTCTCTTTAGAATGAGTAAGAAATGAAAAATATTTTCCTATTTAGATATTGTTTAAATATTTTACGATCACATAAAAGTTTGAAATTTTCGACAAAAAATTAGATTTTGTGGAACAATAAATTTCATTTCTTCTCTTCACCGCTTTCGACCTGATATACATATATTAAAATTTTTTTAAATTTTATTTTTGGTTACATATATATATGTATTTTTATATAATTTTTGGATAAACAATTTTACAATTGTATATTTAAACATTAATATTGTGGGGCTCATACCACAAAATTCTTCATTTGGTGACTTCACCTATAAAACTCTCGTTGATACGAATAAAAATTTTTTAAATTAATTTTTTTTAATTATAAAATTACAAAATAAAAATTAAAAAATATTCCAAGTTATTTCTTAGGTATAAGTCGAGAAAAAAAATTACGCAAGCCTTTTTTATTGATTTATTTATTTTTTTAAAATTTTTTTTATTTTTATTATATTTTTTATTTTTTTTTAATTATTGTACATTCCTTCTTGCTGAAAGATAACATTCAAAACTTCACGCTAAATAATTTGTCCGGGGCCTTAAATAATTAAGCGAAGGCTCTACCACTGAGCAGTAACACTTAAGTGTGAGATTCGAACTTTAATTTCACTGCTCAAAATTTTATTTAAAAGCCAAGTTTCTAATATTCCAAGAGTGCTAGATATAATGAGTGCAAGTTCCAAGTTTCTAATAATTCTCCAATATTTTGTAATTTAAGTGATTTTTTACTATTAGTGATTGTTTTTGTACTTTTGCGATCATCATTAATTGTATAGTTTTCATATTTGTTTAGCTAAATTTATTTAATTGAATTATAGTAACGATTTAGGCTATTGATTGTAGTAAAGATTTAGGCCATTTTTCCAAATTCCACTTTCCGAAGTCAATTTTTTAATTAAATGCCTTCAATTTTCAGTAATTCAAGCTATTTTTTTTTCAAAATTTATTTTCGTACCTTTTGTAATTATCATTTATTTAATAGTTTATTAATTTTTTTAGTTAGTTTTATTTTCAATTAATTATAGAAACGGAGAAGAATGGCAAAATATAGGCGTAGTTTCCAAATTTCATTTTCCAAAACTAATTTTCTAATTTAAGTGTCTCCAATTATTTGTAATTTAAGAGATTTTTAAAAATTTGTTTTCGTACTTTTACAATCATCTTTTATTCTATAGTTTACTTATTTGTTTCATTAATTTTATTTTACTGATTTAGTTTTTTTTAATTATACTAAAAGCGAAAAAATTGCAAAGATTTAGGTATCATCTCCAAATATCATTTACTAAAGTCACTTTTCTAATTTAAGTGTCACCAATTTTCTGTAATTTAGGTGACGTTTAAAAATTTGTTTTCGTACTTTTGCAATAATCATTAATTCAATAGTTTTCATATTTACTTAATTAATTTCATTTCTTTTCTTTTTTTTTCCTGAATTATACTAAAAGAAAAGAATGGCAAAAATTAAGGCATCTTTTCCAAATTCCATTTTCCATAGCCAATTTTTTAAGAGCCCCCAATTTTCTGTAATTTAATTTATTTTTCAAAATTTATTTCGTTCTTTTACTATAGTCTCTAATTCTTCTTTGTTTAGTTAATTATCATTATTTTTTGAATTATAGTAACGGAGAAGAGTGGCAAAGATTTAGGGATCTTTTCCAAATTCCATTGTTTCATCCTTCTATCGTGAAGCATTCTTCTAAAGCTCTTGAAGAAGTTGTGGATGATCTCGTAGTGGCAATATCAAACAGTTTAGATAAAAATGAAGAAACTGACTTATTGCCTTTATTATACAGATTAGGACTGGAATGTAAGTGAAAGTTTTGTATTAGTTATCGATAAAATCTTTCTCTCGAATTGTGGAATGCAATTAGAACAAACGCTTTTAAGTAAATAAACTTATGGCGAAAAATTGTAAAATAATAGAAAGTGTTCATTTTTTAGAATTTTTTTTCTTGAGTAATGGATAATCTAAGGTTTTCTGTGGTTATTGTAGAATGTATAATTTGTGTCGACGCTACAAGGTAAATTTATTTACAAGATTGTGTCTGTTTGAATTGCCAATAAGAAAGATGCATAAGATATTTAAGACAAGCACGTTTAAATGATATTATCATATTTTGTTTACAAAAATGTTTAAGAAAGTTCGGATAGAAAAGGCTGTAAGTTCCTATAGGTTTTTTGAAAGTGTTATATGAACTTCTCAAAATCAATTCTTACGAAAAGTCCAATTGGGCAAGATTTTAGAAACTTAATAATTGCGCAAGAAAATAAATTGACTACCCTGAATAACTTTTGATCGAAAGATCGGATCTCCACGTTCTAGGATTCAATCTTATTGGTTTGAGGAGGTGACATTAAATGTGCTAATTAATTAGTGCAGACAATATTTTAAGACAGAAAAATCAGGCACAAAAACGTGCTTTCCCTGAATAAACACATTTTTTTCCCCGACAGATTCGGATCTAAAATATAGGGATGGCTGCAGCCTGAAAAATATGGTTTCAATAGTTTAGTCAGAAGTAGCGGTTCAAAGTTTGGACTTCCTTATATTAATTTTTCTTTTTTGCTTATTTAACTCTATCCAGAGAATTTTTTAAGCGAATTGAAACATTTTTGCACACAGCTATATAATTCGTTTATTCAAAGATGATTTCATGCAAAAAACAATTTAGTAAATATTTATCATTTCTTATTATTTTATTTATAAGTAGTCGAAAATTTTTTGAATTGTAAGGTAATTTTACATTAAAAATAAAATTTCTTACTTTCAATAAAATTTCTTACATCATTATAAAGAATGTGATTTTAGATGGCAAAACACAGGGTTTGAGCGAAATCCGTCGAATACTTCCCGAAAAATCGAAATTTAAACAGCTGACACTTTAAAATTTTAATTTCTCAGGAACTATTCGAGCGATTTCGCCCAAACTTTGTTTTGTGAACGGTTTTTGCGTCTGACTTCGTGACTTAAAATATCGTCTGCACTTATTAATTGGTATGTTTGATTTCACTCCCTCGGACCATTAATATTGGTTCTTGCAATGCGAAGATCCAATCATTAGATCAAAAGTTATTCCCGTTTTNTTTTTTTTTTTTTTTTTTTTTTTTTTTTTTTTTTTTTTTTTTTTTTTTTTTGCGCTTTGCACTTGACATTTTCCCGAAAACATTTGTTCTAATTATGGAGTAAATAAAATAAGCGAATTCGACTGAGACTTATTTTTAATCCGTGTATAGATAAGTTTATTTATCCTTCCTGATGTAGTGTGCTCTGTTTGGAAACACTTATTTCAAAAATTCGATACGGTCGCAGTTCCTAACGTGACACCTGACTGAAATTTTGTACCGAAATTCGCTGTGTGCTTGGAAGTGTTAATTCATTTTCAGTAAAGAGCAGACTATCAGTAACTATTCCCATGTGTGAATAACAGCATGTATCTCGAAAACTGTCTAGTTGAAGAAATCAGCAGTGTTACCTATCTTGGATGAATTATAAATAAGAGAGGAAGTTCTAATCAAGATATCGCTAGCAAACGAAATGAAGCTCGCACTGCTTTCGCTGTTCTAAGTAAATTTTGGGGCGTGTAGAACGATATTAAATGAAACAAAAACAAGAATATTCAACTCAAATACTTTTTTTAAAAACTTTTATACGGATCAGAAACCTGGTACAACTTGAAAACAAATACAAATAAGTTATAGATTGTTATCAACAAATGTAACAGAATATAAAATGGGTTCTTAATATAATATTAATGGTTTCAGAATTAATTCTTAATATAAAATGGTTCCACAAAATAACTAACAATGAATTATTCAAAATCAGTGAACAGAAACCAATAAATTAGAAGTCAGAGAACTCGAATGGCGTTGGACTGGACACCTCAAGGTAAACGAAAGAGGGGTAGGCCTAAAATGACATGATGCAGAGCGTTTGTGAATGAATTAATGGCAGTGAACAAAACATGGAGAGAAATAAAGTGCTTGGCCACCTACAGGGTGAGATGGAGTGTGACGACAAAGGCCCTATATGCAAGAAAGAAGAAGAGAAAGACACAACTGTCTCTTGCACAACAATATTAAAATAGTTTTTTTTTTTAAAACTAAGTTATTCTCTTTTTTAATTTAATGTCATTTTATAAATATATGTATCGATTTTTAGCTTTCAATTAAACCTTTTTTTTTAATCGCAAAATATTACCTAAAATTATTTATTTAAAATGATTGATCACGTGTCCCCTTCACAACTACTTATCGGGTTTTATAATATTGGAATGCCTCTTTCTCTAAGTTCTTAATGGAACTCAGCCGAAGCCGAGTTTCTCGAAGGATAATTGCTCATGTGTTCATGATAATTGCTTTTCTGTAATTCTCTATGCCTCATGGTCAACAGCAGATTTCCACGTACCGTTTTAATAGAAATGGTGGTAGCATATGATTGCCATGAATTTTAACAATGAAAAACTCCGGAGTGTTGAGATTGTTCGGTATTAACTTTCATTTGAAAATTGAAATTCTGAGATCTAAAAATTTCCAGTTTAGAAACTTTTAGGTGGAGTTTCTAAAATACAGCAGTGTTTATAAAATCTTAGAAATACAATCTATTATACCACTAAATATTGCTCAACTTTTTTCAAGAACCGCATAAACTGTAACATTTTTTGTAGGTGGTAACAGTAGGGTAGAAGCAATAATAACAACAAACAACGGAAAAAACGAGCAAATGGCAAACAACGATAAACAATAGCAGACAACAACAAACAATAAACAAACAACATTATAGGCAGATCGAATTCAATTTTTTTTTAATGGTCTCTTAGGTAAATTCCATTCTATATCAAGATAATTAAAAGCTAGCTTTACCCAGGATGGCATGTAAATAAAGCAAATAGTAGTAAGGGTAACATGTCTGTTTCTCAAATGTTTTCTTTATAGTTCAAAGGGATATTTCAATTTTTAGGTATCGGATATATAACTTTGAACAAACGCCTAGGCTGCTTGTCTTTGAAAGGGAATGCCGAGGCAGATGCACTAGTAAAGGCTGCAGAGGCTACTCACATGGCCGTGTACCTCACTGAAAATGTGCCATTCAATCAGAAGAAAAATTACAAGAAACTGGAAGCAGCTCAAGATATTTTGTCTGAGTATGATAATTTTATTTTATGTTTCATTTAACAATTATTATTTCCTATCCAATTCTGAGTTCACAACAAGCAATGTAGTTTTGTAATTTTGAACTTAATTCAAAAGTCAAGGGAACTCCCGGATCAAGCATTGGGACAAACTAGCCTTTGTGGAGGACTTTCAGATGGAACTAACCCGCTTTTGCGTTACATAGAGCAGAAAACTACAAAAACTTTAACTGGTTAGCCGACAAGGGGACTCTAACCCGTGATCCGTCTTCTACTGAGGATATTTTACGGCAGCACTGTAGTCGGTGCAAGCCGGATGCGGAATTCGTATCGACCAGCCATCTCTGAGATATGAATCCGGATCATCTCAATGGGAGACGAGCGCTTTATCCCCTGAGCCACCACTGCTGAGGTATGATAATTAGGATGATATTGGTATGTAAGTGATTCAAAAAGTATAGTCTATGAATTGAATACCTTATCTTCAAGCTCCTTAGGAGGTTGTAATATAGCCAGGGTAAGGGTCTATGGGGTCTCTTCCGAAATGAATTAAAATAAAATAAAAATCAAGAAATAATAATTTTGTATCTATTTTATTTACTTATTTTGATTTATTATAAAAAATTGGCTTCTTCAAAATTGAACTTGTTAATTAAATTAAAACTAGAACGGGTTTCTCAATTTTTTCCAAACATTTTATCTTTCCCGCTATCTATGAAAATCTTCTATCTTGAATTTGTGATTATTAATAATAGATAGATTTCGAAAAGCATTACGTTTTCCTCTAACTCTATAGTTAATACTATTTCAGCTCCACAGTGCATGCGTGAAAATTTATCCATAGTATTACTGAGAGGTAGAAAATTACGTTAGCGTTACGATTAATGTAAGACAAACGCTGTGCAAAAGCTCTTTAATTACAATAAAAGACTTCAATGTTGATTAAAAATGTTAGCTTTTTATAAAATGCTAAAAATCAGCTTATTATTGTGGATAAATGGGTTTCTAAATAGAATAATAGAAATTCAAAATAGGTATGATTCTCAGCTTTTATTTTTCAGTACTGCTTATTTTTTACTAAAATTTATAAAGATTTGAAATGGTAGAGTGAGGACTACTAACTCAGTTTACATGAAATGATCCTTGTACTATTGATTTTAATATGTAATCTGAAACTAAACTGTTTGTTTCTGTTGTTTATCGGTAGAAAATTCGCATAAGCCTTAAAAAAAGAAAGAAAACGCATTAGAAGCAATTTAGAGATTTTTAATATTCTTACCAGCAACAATAATTTTAAAACGCAATTTTTTTTCAATGAAAAAAATTTGAGTCATTTTTAATCAGTTATAAAGTGGATAATTTTAAAAAGAAAAATTAAAACGACGTATCTTGTAGTCCATTAAAGATCAGGTGCTAGTTTTAGTTACAAAATATTTTAAAACAATCATTTAAAAAACCTGCTGCATAATTTTTTCAACTGACTGACGTTTTGAAAAAAATTATGAATTAAAAAATTGTAACTGTGAAAAAGAGCTTCTTAAAATTGAACAAAAATGCGTCAAAATAGCTCCGAAGCAAATAAAGTCAAATTTCAAAACCCTATGTACTTATGTTCGAATATAATGAGCTCAAAACAGCTTATAATCATTTTTTAAACTATGCCTACTCTTCTTTAACAACAAATTACTCGAACTGAGTACACGATGCGTTATTTTTGAGACTCTGCATTTTGCTCAATATTGGGTTTTCAAATTCGACTATATTTGTTTCAAACCTATTTTGGCGCCTTATTGCTCAATTTTGAGAAAGTCTTTTTTACATTGTTTAAAATATTTTGTAGTATTACAGTTTAATCTAAATATTTTATCAATATTTTCTTTTAGAATAGTAGGGAAATACTTCGATGAAGCCTTGAAATCAGCCGACAATTCATCCGAAAGCTGCATAGTACACAGATTAATGAGAGTACCAGGCGCTGAAAAGAGAGATGTATTTACCATGATTTTAGATATGTTCCTAGCCGGTATCGATACCGTAAGTAATCCACATTTTTTTAATATCTAACACACACTTTTAATATTTTAATTATATATATATATATATATATGTATGCATATATTTAGAATTAAGAAGTATGTACACTTAAAATTACACTATTTTGAATTTTGTACANATATATATATATATATAAGCTTGTACTTTTTTAATATGTATATACACTTGAGCCGCAGTGGCTTAGGGTATAGAGCGTTCAACTCCCAATGTGGTGATACAGGTTCGAATACCAGAGGTGGCTGGTTGGTATGAACGAGAGCTTCTCTTATGTCAATCTTAAAAGACACATTTATTAATTTAAAAAAAAACAACTACTTGAGATTACCCAAGTAGTTAAAAAAATTTAACCGTTAAAGAAGTTTTTATGAAAATGACTTAAAGTTTTTTTTTTATATAACCTACAACAGGGTTCCCACGAACGTTAAAAAGTGGTTGCAATAAAAAAAAAAAGAATGTCGAACATTAAATACATTTGTCATCAACATGTGTTATTTTTTAAATAAGGTCTGTATGAGAGCGGTCTGTATGTAGGTCTGTATGTCTGTCTGTAAGGTCTGTATGTAGCACATTGGTAAGCGGTTCGAATCCCATCGGTGGCTGGTTGATACGAATTCTGCACCGACCACAGTGCAGACGTAAAATATCGTCAGTGGCAGACAGGTCATGGGTTAGAATCTCCTTGCCATCGTGCAATTTGTGAAAGGTTTAAATTTTTTTCCCTCTTCAAGTAACGTAAATGCGGGATAGTTTCATCAAAAAGTCCTCCAGGAAAGGCTGATTTGTCCCCTTGCTTGATCCAGGAGTTCTCTTTTTTGTTTTCTGGGTTGGTTACATAATTACAAGGCTACGGATGTGAACATTGATAGTCGTTAACATTGATAACGTTCGGGTCAGCTGTTCAATGTGGATTATAAAATAAAATACATATATACACTTTCTGACTTTTAAATCGATGGAAACAGAAACCATGAACGCAAAACCTGCCGTACTGTATTGCGATCATTTACTAAATTTTACAGTAGCATTATCCAAATGGTATTGAAGTAGCTTTAAACTTTACAGTAGTGTTATAGTAGTATATGAAAGCGGCTGGGTTAAGAAAAAAGAAATGAGTTTTTTTTGCATTATTTTATTTTGACCACCATTAAATCCTATCCTTACACAGAATATTTTTTAGAATGTTGATTTATACAGCTGTTTCAAAATGGTGGCTAGTGGAACCTTAGGGTTCCGTGGAAGGTCGCAGGAGTTCTGAGAGTTAGAATTTTTTTTACCAGTTATGATTTTGGAAACCTGTAACTAAATTTGTACAAAACTAGCAATCTAATATTTATTAGAAGGCTACGAATTCTGGTGGAGAGGTGGATTTAATATTTCAGCTATTTTTATGAAATTTCATTTAATTAAAATTCTTATGGGGAAAGAAAATTCAAAGCAATGCTATTTTTTCTGATAACAGTATATCGAATGAATTATGGATATGCATTTATGAAAAATTGGATTAGTACATCGTATCGAATAAAAATAACCGACCTTAATGAAAAGAATCTTCCTCTGATAAAACTTCTCTTCGTTTATTTTTGTCGTTATCGTTTTCATTTTAACGGAAACCATATTTCAGTTCATTTATTCTTCAGTTTATACACACACTAAAATCAAATTAAGAAAGAACTAGACTAAATTCCGCCGTAGACCTGTGAATTCAACTGACTATCATAAATTACAACCCAATTCTAAGACTAATCTTGATAAAACGATATGATAATAGAAAATTCACTCTCCTTTAATTCACTACATATTAACTACATATTGAAAATATGTATTTTAATAAATAACATTTAGATAAATAACTATTTTCAAGATAAGTAATGTACTTTTTCTTAATTAATATGTTAGCAATCGTTTTATTTATTTTATAATCGTCATTAAACAGCCTACCCAATTTTGGGTTTACGTCTGTGTTCAGTTCCATAGCCTTGTAATTTAAAACCCAATTCTGAAGACAAGGGAGATTCTGGATCAAGTATTGGGAGAAATTCGCCTTCATTGTGGACATTTTGATGAGTCTAACACGCATTTGCGTTACATAGAGAGGAAGACCGTGAAAACCTCCCACGATTATCCTGATGGCAAGGGGACTCTAACCCAAACTTTCAGTTGAACTCACAATTCACCATGAGAAATGCTCAAAACTCTCTCATTCACAAACTCCAGTTGAATTGATCCCCTTAAAGAGAAACTCTAAAAACTCTTTTCTTTTCTTCTACAAGATTCAATTACCTTTTTTCCCCCCCAAGTATTTCCAAATTCCTATTTTACAGCCTCTTAGAGAGCGCTTCATACCATGCATGTAGCAACTCTGATCTTTTTATCTTTAAATGTTACTTAACCGTTATGTTTTTAATTATTGGCATCTATTGTAACTTTCTTCAAAAATTTGTTTTTCATTTACACTTTCTTCATTCGTTTTTTTTTTTTTTTTTTTTTTTTTTTTTTTTTTTTTTTTTTTTCTTTTTTTTTNATGTGAGCTAGACCTGTGGCCAGACGTGGACTATACGGTTAAGAGTTTTGCAAACCTAGGTACGTGTCCACGTCTGGTAGAAAAAAAAAAGGACTCTAACCCATGATTCGTCTACCACTGATTATATTTTTCGTCACCACTGTGGTCGGTGCAAGTCTGGTGCGGAATTTAAATCGACTAGTCATCGCTGGGTTATAAACCCGGTTCACCTCATTGGAAGACCGCAAAAACAAGGTCAATCATTTATGGTTCCACTCCCGAAAAAAATTGGGAACCACCGAATTAATAGCAATTTAATTTGCTCTATGAATGTTCATATAGCCTTAAAAAGAAATTTTCTTAGGGATAAATGTTAACAAATTAAAGTGGTGAAGAGCAAATCGAGATCGTGGACTCCCCTATTGTGAAATGAATGGATTAAGTGGATTTGAAGATTTTTTTAAAAAAATATGTCATGAATGATTTATCTTCTCATAAACGATGATTATATAGCGCTGTTTCAAAAATGCTAAATTATTATCATGTCATACTGTGTCATAAGCGATGGTTATATAATTTTCTTAAAAATGATGAATGACAAGTTGTCATATGCTTCCATAAATAATGGTCATTAAGATAATTGTCACAAATTTTATTTTTGACAATATTTATTTCAATAAAGGGATAAAAAGTTAAAAAATACATTTTTTAAGCTGATAAATATATAAATTAAAGTTTAAATGTTGCAGAATGAATCAGTAAAAAATTAAGATTCATCGTAATCTCAGCTAGAATTGTTTTTGGTTTGGAATAAAATCTATTGCTATCTTAAGGATGAATTTCAGAAAAATATCGGATCTCCTTCAAATTTTTTTTTTTTGTAATTCAAGTATTATTTATATGCTGATTAAGGTGTATAGAAAATACGTTGTTTGATAACAAGATAACACTAGAGAACAGTTTTTTTCGAGAATAATATTTTTTTTTACGAGGAAAATTTTTTTTTTTTTAAAATTTTGAACTCCTTATTGTTGATATGAAATTCTCCATTGTTCAAAAGACTAGAATTCATAATAGCGGGAATTGCTTGTTTCTTTTTAAATAGTATTTAACATATTCTTTTACAAAAATTCCGATGCCATTGAGTTAATTAAAAAATCATATGTTAGATTTCTTTATACTTTCGTCATTATTATTATTATTTTATAAAGATTTGATAAATTTGAAAAAAAATATTTCAAATTAACTTGCAAAGTCATAATTGATTTTTTAAAGCGTAATATCATAAAGGTCTTAACAATTTACACATATTAGGGAAATTTTATCAAGACTACAAAACACAACTTGAATGAAAAGATGTGTTTGTTAGAGAGATAACGGGAATGTTCATTAACTTTTTGTGTATAGGTATATTTATTCTTTTAGTCTCCATAACAATTGTTTTTTTCTCTATAGACTTCATTTGCATTATCTTTTGGTTTGTATCATTTGGCTCGATGCAAGCGTGTTCAGGATACTTTACGAGAACAATTACGTGAAGTAATGCCTACCCTAGATACTCCATTTACAGGTGTTAAGAAACCAAATTACTTAAAAGCTGTGGTACAAGAAACTCTGAGGCAAGTACAAACATCCCACATTATATATATGACGAATATTGCATAAATATTTATATGAAAAATTCATAAAAAAAGTTTGTTCTTCTAGAAAATGCTGCATTAAACAATCGCAGTATTACGAAAAGTGGAAATACGTTTATTAATGCTGTATTTGTCGTAAATTCCAAGGAAACTTTGTATTGGGGACCGGAAAGTAGCGTCGTTTCGGTGCATTTGATATTTGTTATCAAGATTTCAATAATAACCCTCGTTATCACCAACCTTTATTTGCCGGATAGTAAATGAATCGAAATGGATCGAAAAAAATGAATTGGTTTTTACGACTAATTCATTTTTTATTCCTCGTTACGACTAATTCATTTTTTTAAGGAATTTATTCCTCGTTGCGACTAATTCATTTTTTTAAGGAATATTTATTGCGCCGAAACGACGTTACTTTCCAGTCTCCCTAATATATTAATTTTAGATGTTGCGAAATTAAATGGAAAATTATGAAAAGAATGTTGTACCATAATCTAAATTAACATGGATTAAGTAGGAAGAAAAAATAATTAACAATTGTAAATCATGAGGGAGGAACGGTTGATCTCTATTTTTGTTTTACAAAAATGACGATATCACTCCCATTTGTTGCATTTTGAGGATTTCTAAGTTTTGATAAATAAATAACGTTGAAAATCGGTCATCTCCGAGAGTTATTACGCAGTAAAGATGCGGCATGCTGAGGAAAAATGGTTCTTGTCTGCTAGCAAATTAAATCCCCACCCTCAGAATCAGCTTTCATGATCTTGAATTGTATTAGCTAAAATACTAATAAAAATTTGCTAGTTACTTAATTAATAAAAACTAACTTAACACATTTCTTCCAAATATTGCGAACGAAAAACTGTTTTCCAGTTTCAGTTATAAAATAAAAAAAAGTGAACATTATTAATCGAACGGTTGATTCCGCTGAAAAAATATAAAAGAAAAGAGTGCTTTAAAGTGATTTATGTCGAATTCATGTGGCTTTATAATGGATTTTTACAACCGTCCCTAAAAAAGGACGTAGGATACAAATGAATCCTTATTCTCTCCTTATTCGAGTGGCCTTATTCTTTTTATGTTGTGAAACACATCTTCAAATCTTTTGTTGAAATTTCCAGAATTTATTAGCCTAATGGAAATTATTTGAATTAAACATAATGTGATTTTAAGTTAATTTATTTTGTTAAAAATTACATTTTGATTTCAGAGAGTTGCATCTACGCGTGCAATAATCTTTAGATATTAACTAGATAGATTATTAGATATTAACTAGATTAGATAGACTAGATATTACATTTTTTTTTAGTTTATTTATTTCGTTTTAGAATAAATCCTGTGGCAATAGGCACTGGACGAGTTATTCCAAACGATTTGGTCATTGGAGGCTACCTTGTTCCTGCTAATGTGAGTGACATAATATTTTATATTTAAAAAAAAAAATAATTTTAAGTCAAAAGTACCAACTGTCCAATTACTTAAAAATAAAATTCAAATTTTGGTGGTAAATTTTTGACTAAAGACTTCAACATTTAAATTTAATTTCAGACGATGGTAATTCTGCAACACCAAGTGGCTTCAATCCAAGAAAAATATTTTAAAAATTCTAAGGAATTCGAACCCGAGCGATGGTTATCCAAGAATGCTCCACGTTCTGTTTCTGCTCCTTTTGGATCTGGAAAAAGGTTATGCATTGGTAGGAATATAGCACAACTAGAAATAAATCTCGCTATAGCAAAAGTAAGTATATAGTATAAATATAGTATATAGATTAAAAGTATAAATTTTGAAGTTATTGTAATAATAGTATTTCATTTGAATGATATAAAAGATAAGGAATATGCGATTTATACTGATGTCTAAATTAAAAGATTTTTCAGATTTGCTATAAAACTACTGAATTATGCTATCAAAGGAGAGATTTTGCATAGCGTTTGTCTTACGTTAACCGTTACGCTAACCTTATTGTGGGGACTGCTATCGACAATGTCAACCTTCATCTATGAAAAGGCACTCCCACATAGAATCGAGTTATCATATCGAGTTAACTAGTGAATTGGAATTGTATTTCTGTAGTGGTAGACACACTATAGTACTTCTCCACCGGAATTATATCTGTGATAGAATTCGATGAATGGATGGATACCCCTAGTTGATTCATTGCTGTTTTGTCAGAAGCCGGGAGATCTGTATTAAGATCATCGTACTTTTCCGAACCGTGAGAGCTGTATTAAGTTCACTGTAGTGGTTGCTCCTGTGTTGCCATTAGCAGTCGAGTGTATGCCGGCTGACGTTGAGATCGAGACTGAGTAGCAACAGCACGAGGATGTGGATAATGTTGCAGTCACAAGTAGCAAGTCAACTGTTCAATGGGGAAACCATCGAAGTAGACGTGTTCAAATTGAAGTAGGAGTTTCTGTCAAGGTAGGCGTGTGCATATCATATCCGAAGGTCATCAACGTGGGAGGAATCACATCGAACATGCCATCTATGAAAATAGAATCTCACTATAGAATCAAGTTAACGTGTCTTATATACTAGTGAATTAGAATTGTGTTTTTGTAGTGGTAGACACACTACACTTATTTTCTTCCCCTTAGCGATAATGTGATTTGTTTGAATATTTTCGCGCATGCACTATGATGCTCGAATAACGTAAGAGTTTGAGTTACGAGTACGAGAAACCCTGACGCAACTCAGATCTTCTGTCATGAACTTTATGGAAATTGCTTGGGATGTTTTGGGGAGAGCTATTGCAACTTGCGTTTTCCCCCCGACGCCCAGGGCCTAAAAAGAGCGTTGCGGAACAAGTGAGTGCAATGGAAATTAGTCATCTTTTAATTTTGTGACTCCGCGAAGTTAACAGTTAATCGATCTTAAAGCTAAAACATGAATATTTACCTCAGTTTAGTTCGAAATTTAAACCATTATCGGTTTTGATGCGTGTTTGTTCCTGTCCAAGCAAGGCTTGTTATATAACGGAATAATAACAAAAGTTGAAGCAAATATTTACTAAGAAACCGAAACAGTGAAGAGGTTTCTCACTTTAAACAACTAGTTAACTTTTCATTTTGTGATTTATCTAAGTTAACAGTTAACCAAGCCTGAAGCCGAAATGTTAATATTTGCTCTTACCTTTGCTCTGAACATAAACCAGTTCTGAAGCTGAGTTTGTATTGAGTAGCCCTCGCTGGGATTCGAACCCGGTTCATCTACTTGGAAGGCGAACGCTCTATGCCCTGAGCCACCACTGCTCTACCATCTATATTTAGAAATTAATGAACTTGATGGGAAGCTTACTTCCCCTGGCCTTTTAAAGGGTTAATATTACTATGAGTCTAATAATAATTTTGAGCCTAATAATAGTTTTGTTTAATATTAATTGAGTACATTGAACTAAGTCTTAACTAATCTGGTCTTTTTATATTTTAATTTCAGATTATAAGGAATTTTGAACTAAGTTATCATTATGAAGATATAGATAGCTACAGCAGACTAATTAATGTTCCAGATAAACCAGTAAAACTTCGTATGAAGAGAGTGAATGATTAATTGAATGGCCAAAAATTTAAAAAAGTGAGTTACATTAAATGAGGATCTGCCAAGCTTCGAACTCTTCATTCATTTAATAAAGCTGTAATCATAAAATAAATTAACAATTGGACTTGTGATTCTTCAGAGCATATTTATTCATCAGGAATGCATATTTGAGAGACTTAAAAGTTTTTCTTTTCTGTAATGTTTAAATTATTGTTCAGATTGTTATTGAAAATGTTTGAAAGCATTTTTGTAAATATTGAAATATATTTGAATTTTTTTTATCTCTCCTAGTTGTATATTTGATTCTACCGGTAGGAGAGTTAGAAATGCACACTTTTATATGAATCTTATTGCAAGTAAAGCAAATTTATATTATGCATATTGCATTAAATATATTGTATGAGATAAAAGATTCTAAATTTACTTACTCAATAATAAATAAAGATTCAATTTTAAATTTAAATTTGTAAATTTCTTTTAATAATGATTTAAACGAATAATAGAAATATATTGTAACAGGCTCTCTATTTTTTTTTATTTTGGTTCGATCTGTAAAAGGTTGTAAATTTTTTTCTGTCTGAATTGATTTACAAAACTTTTGTTTTGTTCCTCTTATTACGGTGTATATTTAAACACTTTTTTTTTCTTTTTAAATTTTTAGATGTTGATTTTTTTGTTATATTCAAGGTAAATTTTTTTGTCAATCTGTAATGCAGCTTTTTTTTCCCAGAAATTTCTGATCTGTTTTAGAATATTCCGTTTGTTCAAATGCTCTGCACTTTTCAATCACTTTAAAGCATTTTATTTTCAAATTTGAAAAAATCTTTTGAAGTTTAAAATTTAATTTAAAATTAAATTATTTAAAATTAAATTATTTAAAATTAAATTATTTAAAATTAAATTAATTTAAAATTTGTTTATTTAAAATTAAATTATCAATAAATTGAGTTCATACATAAATAAAATACGTGTTTAAATGTGTGATGTAAGAAAAAGAGCATATCGTATCTTTCGAAAAATTATGTTTTTTATATGATGTTAATTTGCTAAGTAATTGCCCAAGCATCTGCTTTTCTGTTGCATATGAATTGAAATATATGTAATATATATGAAATATGTACGGATTATAAATATATGAAATATATGTACAATCAGTCTTATTATTAATCATGTACTTATTATTAATCAGCGGAAAAAAATTATTTTCCAATTTTTTACATCAACTCTTTAGTTTTAAATTTAAATCAAAAGTATTAAATATTATTAAACAAAAGGAATATTGGGTATTATAAACAAAAGAGGAATATGAATAATGGATAGAATAAATGCGGAGCATTATTGTTAAGAAATGTTATCAAAATTACTAAATGCTATCAGCAAATGCATGCCCTTCAATATTTTACTTAAATAGGATGATAATAAGCATGACTAGGAGAATTTAAATGAATAAGGTAGTTGTGTTTTGGAAATTCTTATAATTCTTATTTGTATAACTAAGAAAATTTAGGTCTTTTTAAAATAATCAATTGTCTTTTGTGTTTTCTCCACCTATGATGTAATTTATTCCATCCATATGCCGAACTTTGATAGATTATTTACATGCCCAGGAAAGCCTGTTAGAGTAAAAAATACATGTCCGATTAGAATTTTTGCATCCCGCGAGCATGTCTGGCAATATAATTTTCGCTTGCTGGTAAGAAAGTAAACTCTTTTTTTCCTTAGTTTCTCTAAAAAACAGTTAATGAATAAAAATAAAAAAAAACTGAAAAGTCAAGAATTATTGTTTAATTATTTATAATCTACAAATGATAAAAGCAATAGAAAAATTCCTACATGCAACAGAAATTTAGTTGTATGAAGGAAACAAAAATACTTCCCGAAAAGTGCATTTTTTGAAATAATTATAACTGCTCTTTGAAGTCATATTATCACAAGAACATTTATAGAAAATATTTTCTTTAAATTCAAATTTTATTGCCAAGATTGAACAAAAGAAGCTAACAACAATTGAAAAAATTAATACTCATTGAATACTACCATATTAAAAACTACAAAACGCGTAATTTTATTACTTTATAATTTTCAAAAAAAAAATAAATAAATNATTATATTTGATTCTACCGGTAGGAGAGTTAGAAATGCACACTTTTATATGAATCTTATTGCAAGTAAAGCAAATTTATATTATGCATATTGCATTAAATATATTGTATGAGATAAAAGATTCTAAATTTACTTACTCAATAATAAATAAAGATTCAATTTTAAATTTAAATTTGTAAATTTCTTTTAATAATGATTTAAACGAATAATAGAAATATATTGTAACAGGCTCTCTATTTTTTTTTATTTTGGTTCGATCTGTAAAAGGTTGTAAATTTTTTTCTGTCTGAATTGATTTACAAAGCTTTTGTTTTGTTCCTCTTATTACGGTGTATATTTAAACACTTTTTTTTCTTTTTAAATTTTTAGATGTTGATTTTTTTGTTATATTCAAGGTAAATTTTCTTGTCACTTTGTAACACAGCTATTTTTTCTCCAGAAATTTCTGAATCTGTTTTAGAATATTCCGTTTGTTCAAATGCTCTGCACTTTTCAATCACTTTAAAGCATTTTATTTTCGAATTTAAAAAAATCTTCTGAAATTTTAAATTAAAATTTAATTTAAAATTAAATTATTTGAAATTAAATTAATTTATTTAAAATTAAATTATCAATAAATTGAGTTTATACATAAATAAAATACGTGTTTAAATGCGTGATGTAAGAAAAAGGGCATATCTTATCTTTCGAAAAATTATTATGTATTTTACATGATGTTAATTTGCTAAGTACTTGCCCAAGCATCTGCTTTTCTGTTGTATATGAATTGAAATATATGTAATATATATGAAATATATACGGATTATAAATACATGAAATATATGTATAATCAGTCTTATTATTAATCATGTACTTATTATTAATCAGTTGAAAAAAATTATTTTCAAATTTTTTACATCAAGTCTTTAGTTTTAAATTTAAATCAAAAGTATCAAGTATTATTAAAAAAAGGAGTATTAGGTATTATAAACAAAAAAAGAATACGAATAATGGAATAAATGCGGAGCAGTATTGTTAAGAAATGTTATCAAAATTATTAAGTGCTATCAGCAAATGCATGCCCTTCAATATTTTACTTAAATATGACGATAATAAGCAAGACTTGGGGAATTAAAATGAATAAGCTAGTTGTGTTTTAGAAATTCTTATAATTCTTATTTGTATAATTAAAGAATATTTAGTTCTTTTTAAAATAATGAATTGTCTTTTGTGTTTTCTCCACCTATAATGTAATTTATTCTTTCCATCTGCCAAACTTTGATAGATTATTTACAAGCCCAGAAAGGCATGTTAGAGTAAAAAATACATGCCCGATTTGAATTTTAGCATCCCGCGAGCATGTCTGGCAATGTAATTTTCGATTCCTGGTAAGTAAGTAAACTCTTTTTTCCTTAGTTTTTCTAAAAAACAGCATGATGAATAAAAATTAAAAAAAAAAAAAAAAAACCTAAAAAGTCAAGAATTATTGCTTAATTATTTATAATCTACAAATGATAAATGCAATTGGAAAATTCTTACGTGCAACAGAAATTTAGTTGCGTGAGGAAACTAAAAAACTTCCCGAAGAGTACATTTTTTAAAATACTAATTATATTTATTCTTTGAAGTCATATATGTTATCGCAAAAACATTTATCGAAAATAATTTCTTTAAATTTAAATTTTATTGACAACATTGAACAAAAGAAGCTAATAACAATTGAAAAAATAAATACTCATTGAATACTACCATGTTAAAAACCACAAAACGCTTAATTTTATTGCTTTATACTTTTCAAAAAAAAAAAAAAAAAAGGAAGTTATTTAAAAAAGCTAAAAAGTAACAAGAATATTAAACACTATTTCCTCCCAATATAATAAAACAATCCCTTCACTTTCAACCGTTTTTGAAAAAAAATAAAATAAAAATAAAGCTGCCGAGAGACATTCAAAGCTAATTTAACATGAAAAAAACAAAAGCAAATTTAAACCTAAATTTCAAGATGGCGAGAGACAAGGCGTCTTTAAATTAATTGAGACAATGTACGTAACGATTCAGCTACATACACGTGCATAGAAAGTTTGAAAAAAAAAATTATTGATATGTCTCAAGCATATATTTTAGAGTAATTTCACATAAACTCTTGATCTTCTGTTTCATAAAATAAACGTATTTCTTTTTTTGTATTTTCTTCCTATTTTGTAAGTTGACTCAGTTTATAGAATTGATTCCTTCAACAAAACTTTTTAAGTTAAGTATAGTGCTGCCATCTATAAAAAGAATCAGTAATATATTTCAGAAATATTTAACATGTACCTCCGAAGTTCCAGAAATTTGCAACTGAGAGTGGAAAATCTAAGTTTTCGCCAAGTAAGGTTGACATGTGTATTTTTTAATATATTTCTATTATATTTTATACACTTGATGTACTGCTGAGTTTTTTTTTTGCGATCTAAATTAACTTCTCAAATAAATTTTATGGGGAATATTGCAAAGTTTTTTTTTAATACCTACTTATATGAAAGAAAATAATAATTTGTATGTTATTTAACGCGAAATATTTAGTAGAACACGAAATATTTAGTAGGATGATTTTCTAGAAATGTATAATACTATGTTGATGAATAAGAAGAATTATCTTTTGCAAATGAATACAGATTGAGCTAATAAGCGAGATAAAACATAATTTAGAGAGAAAAAAGTTTTAAATTTTCAGTTTAATATTTTAATATTAGTTTCCATAAAAAAAACAATTACTCAGTGAGAAAGAATGATTTATGTACTATATTACTGTAAAAGTAAAAGTTCAATTATAGAATAGGTACAGAGGGTACTTGTAAACTCGCTGAAATATTCCATTTTAAATCAATTATTATTTTTATATATTTATAAATTATATATTTTTTAAATTTTGTACATTTTATGATGAGTTAAAAAAAATTATTGATTCTTATTCAACAAAATTGCATCTGGTTAAACTTTTTCAGTTATTTAAGCATTTAAACGACAGATGGCAGTAGCTACCAATATCCAAGATAACCATAAACGAAAAATCTTTAATATAATAAAAATACATATACAAATAAAAATAAAAATTAAGTATACAAGCACTGATGTTGAAACAAAGAGAAAATTGAAATATGCTCACATTTCGGGCTCGTAGCGGTGACGTATTTAGATGCCAAGATTTTATTTAGGAG